ACGAATGTGAGGAACTTTAATACCAAATCGGACAAAACATATATATGGGAGCTATAACTATATCAGAAGCGATTTTCTCCGAATTCTATGCACTTCTTTCTAGACTGAATTCGGTCGGATGTACCGAAATTCAGGTCATTTGGACTGATATTGGCCATTTGGTGCACAATTAGCCCGAAATCGGTTAAAGATATATATAGGAGCTATATCCACATCTGGACCAATCTTGATCAAAGTTGGCAGATGTACTTCCGAGCTCTATAACATATCTAGTACCAAATATCATTGTTGTCAAATGCACATTACACAAGTGAGGGACTTAAACCCCAAATCAGATGAAACATATATATGAGATCTCTGGCTATATCTAAACCGATTTTCAGCAAATTTGAAGTACTTATTTGTGGGCTGAAACCATCCTATTTGAATCGGTTACATTACACATATGGCGCCCAACAAAATTGTAATCGTACGAAAATATGTTTGGGAGCTATATCTAAATCTGAACCGATATTCACCAAAATTGACACACATAAAATCATTTGTTCGAAAGATAGCGTGATTACAACAGACAGACGGACATCGCTAGATCGTCTTAGAATTTTACGCTGATCCAGAATATTACACTTTGTAGGGTCTATTATGAATATTTCGAGAAGTTACAATATGAATAACAAGGTTAATATACCCTTCATAGAATGGTGGAGGGTATAAAAAGAATATATATTCTTTATCAGCATATGATTTAATCTGAATTTAGTCATATCTGCCGTCTATCCGTCTGTGGAAATCGCTCTAGCTTCCGAACGAAATGAAGTAGATTGATCAAATTTTCTTGAGAACCGCAAAACTTTTGGTATTGAAAATGGTCCACATTTTGATATAGCCCCCATCTAAATGTTCCGCCAGGTTGAAGGGTGTTTTGGCGATCTTAGTCATATTTTTGAACAGAATTTGCTGTAAATTCGCAGTTTGTGTTTCCTACATGTAAGAAATATCCTTACAAAGACATTTCCGAAACGGCTGAAGCTTCTTCGTACTACAATGATACGAAAAGTAAAAGATTTGAACTTTGGTACGAGAATCGAATTTGGAAAGTAAGTTTGATATCATATATTGGAAATGTGGACTAAGTGTGTGAACTGTACTAAATGGTACTAAATTTAGAAGGGTTTGGTGGTACTAATATAAATAGGTGATAAATAGGTGGTTTTGGAAATTGGTACTTCAAATGCACGAAAAGTTTAAATAGTACTATATTAGGTACAATTTGATAATGGGAGGAACAGATAGGACATGAAATCTGTAAGTTAGTACTAGGTTTGCTTTTCATGTGTATCCTGGTCATAAGGAGGTTGTTTCGGAAATGTGTACTAATAATTGTACGAAAAGTACTATATTTGGTATTGGGTGAAGGAACAGAGATATAATTCTGCAATTTGATATTAAATTTACTGATAATATTTGTGTTTGGCGGTTGCTTGGAAATGTGTCCTATATTTGTACAAGAAGTACTAAATGGTACTAAATTTGATATTGAGTGAATGTAAACATCTAGAATCCCGAAATTTTATATTGAGATCTCTGCGGGTATCTGATGGTAGTATTGCAAATGCATTGTACGAAAAGTACTAAATTGTACTAATTTTGGATCGCTGTTGTTGTTTGGGTGGAGAGTTGTTTGGAAATGCTCACAAAATGTTACTAAATTTGGTATTGGGTGACTACATAGAGCAGGGACTCTGAAATTTGATATGTAGAGCAAACGAGGTGCTTAGGGGGTATGCGTACTATGATTGCTCGAAAAGTACTACATTTCCTTTGTGTGCATGGATAGAGCTGGAATTCTCACATTTGATATGGAGATCATTGTTTCGCTGACGAAGAAGCAGGCACTTATTTTTTATACCCTCCACCATAGTATGAAGGGTGTATTAAGTTTGTCATTCCGTTTGTAAGACCTCGAAATATAAATTTTAGACCCAACAATTATATATATTCTTGGTCAGCATAAAATTTCGATGTCGATTTAGCGATATCCGTCCGTCTATCCGTCTGTGAAAATCACTCTAGCTTCCGAAAGAAACGAAGTGCGTTGATAAAATTTTACTCAAATGTATATTATGTCTGCAGGACTTTTGGTATTGAAAATGGGCCACGTAGGTACACGTTTTAGTATAGCCCCCATATAACGGTACCTCCCTATATTCGGTATTTTGATGATTTTTGCGACAATATTCATTTGATTTCTTTCAATTTTAATATTTGAAGTTTGTAATGAATACTACAGCCTATGACAGAAAATTGTCTGTGCAAGTCCACGTCTTCGTATAGCCCCCATATAATGGTACCTCCCCCCTCCTATTCGGTATTTTGATGATTTTAGCGATATTATTCACCGGAATTGTTTCAAATTAGGTATTTGATGTTCTTAGTGGATACTACAGCCTATGACAGAAAATTGTATATGCAGATCGATTCATATTTGGTATTTCATGTAGGTAGTGGATACTACAGCCTAAGACGGAAAATTGTCTGTGCAGGTCCACGTCTTCGTATAGCCCCATATAACGGTACCTCCCGATATTCGGTATTTTGATGATTTTACCTACATTATTCGCCGATTTTTTTAAGCTTCGCATTTGGATATTGTGATGGCTTATGAAAAAAGTTACCTATGCAGGTTCATGTCGTCGTATAGATCCTAATGTAACAGCTACATTCGATATTTTTAAGATCTTAACAGAATTTGTAAAGGATTTTATTGTTTTTGAGAATTCCCAAATTCGTTTCAAATCGTGTAGGGTATTCAAAGTTCGGTCCGGCCGAAATTACAGCTTTTTTACTAGTTTTTTTTTTTAACAAAATTTTAGTTATTATTGACTCATTTAAGTTTTGCCTTGTTAAGATGAATATCATATTTATACCCTACAACACTATGTGTTGGGGGTATTATAAGTTTGATTGGACCAGAATTTATGTAACACCTCGAAATATTGCTTTCCCATATAGGAAAGTATATATGGATCTTCCTAGCTCGCCGAACTGAGTCGATCTAGCTATGTATGTCCGTCCGTCCGTCTGTCTATGTTAATTTGTAATCACTCTACAGGTCGCAATTATGGTCCGATCTTCAGGAAATGTAAAATGGAGGTGGGGTTAGGGTCAGAATAAAAGCCTATTTCTTTTGGAGATGATCGCCAAATGTTTAGGGGTTGAAATGGACCAAATACTGAAAAAATATCGGATTTTGCAGTAGCTATACAGGTCGCAATTATAGACCAATCGACGCGGAATTTCGTATGTAGCTAGAGTTTAGGGCAGGAAAGAAGCCTACCAATTAGGGTGGTCATCGGATAATATTTAGCGGGTAAAATAGACCATATCTTTTGTATTGAAAAAATTCAATATTTTTCATTAAACCGCGAATATTTTAAATCCCGGCGAAATCACGAAGCCATGACAAGGTTACTTCTGACCTTTACATTGATGTTAACATCCAACAAATCGGATATATAGCAAAATATGTGCGATATATATGTCCATCAAAGAAGATATGCATGAAAGATCTCTTATATGTCGAGAACGGCTGAACTGATTTCGACAGTTCTCATTAATTCAGAATGGCCTCTTGGCAGGAAACATAAAACGTCTAAAAAAAAATCGCATAAAAATATCTCTCTTAGGATGAAAATATTGATTTTGTAACATTTTCTCATATTTCTTCCATTTTGTCATATTTTTGGCATATTTTCATTTTGAATTAAACATTTGGTAATATTTCTACAGCTAACAAAACTAAGTAGTTAGGATAACAGGATATCATATACAGATCGCTTTTATGGCCCGATCCTTACGAAATTTTGCATGGGTATAAGATGAGGGTCAGAATAGAAGCCTGTTCTTTTTGGAGATGATCGCAATATATCTAGGGGTTGAAATGGACCAAATTGTCAGCAGGTCGTAATTTTCGCCCGATCCTCACGCACATTTGAATTGGGGTTACCGGACATTGTAAAAGCCAAGCAGTTTTGGATGGCCATCCAAAAATATTCAATGTGCGAAATAGTTTGCCAACTTTTGTAGACAAAATACGAAAATGTCCATTCCAGTGACTCTTTGTAGAATTCACAAATACAGGAAAGACGCACTTCTGACTATTTCGTTAACGCTGATTTCGTGGAAGAATATAGTCAAATGTCTGTATCTCATATAGATGCGTTTCAGTCAAAAACCAATAATAAATGTTAATCTTTTGCCACTTCTGAGAGATTATAGGTCTTAGGGAAATATTGGTTCCAGATCTAGGAAAACCATTTACGTGCAAAATCTACCAATAAATTGGAAATGAGCAAATTAGTTTAAGTTGCTATTATTTGAATATTAGAGAACGAAACCTGAAGGTTTTCTTTTATTATTTGTCACAATATCTTGTGGAATTCTTTCGAGTATCTCGCCTATATAATCTGTATCGTTTATTATAGTGTTGTAGGGTATTCAACGGTCGGCCCCGCTCGACTGTAGCCTTTGCTTACTTGTTTTTGATCTTTATTACTTTATTTTTCTTTTGAGACGAGTTTAATTAGCTAAAAGCCAGTAAGACATTATTACACACTCACCACTAAACGTCGCGTTTCGGTTTTCACTGCAAATTTCAGTTTATAAGGCTCGTCTCGAAAGCAAATAAAAACAGAGATATATTATTGACCCATTTTAATGAACAAAAAAAAAACTCTTTATGTCCGATCGGTTTGTTTCTTTCGCATTGTTATTAGTATTATTTAATTACATCCTACATTTTACATCATGTTCGCGTAACACTGTGCGTGTCATCATCGTCTGCATTGACCAGTGCTTCAATGATGCGGTAGTCGATTGTCTAGATCGCTGTGTTGTCTTTTTCGATTTTATTTATAATTTCATTTCGTGAAATGCAAAAGAATATTTGCAAAAAAAAAAAATATGTTAATTATTTAATTATTTTTTCGTTTACATTATAGCTGTGCATCCATCGCGGTACGGGATCTTTTTTATCCTCATTTCTCATTTGGGGATAGGGCGAACATTGCCATCAACAAAAGCCAAGAGTGTTGACGTGTTTTTTCCCCTAAGGCGAACTATTAAAGGGTCAGAGTGTAAGTAACACAACATCCGCTATAATGACAAAAAATGGACATACCAATGCGGCCTATGTTGCTGATGTATCGGACAAGCCGTCAAAGAAATACTCTCTGGAGTTGGCCGAGAAGGCAGATAAATACGGCGTGAAATCAAATGGCATCGATGAATATGATCCGTTTCAACATCGTCAGGTGGAGCATCCCACAACGTAAGTGCTCTATTTTACATTTTGTTTTTCACGTTGCGGGACATCATTTTTTATTCATTTTTTTTAGAAATGCCGAGACAATGTTTCACTTTTTAAAAGGTTCTCTGGGTACCGGTATATTGGCCATGCCAAATGCTTTTAAAAATGCTGGCTATGTCATGGGCAGCATTGGGACAATTGTAATTGGCGCCATTTGCACCTATTGCATACATCAGCTGGTCAAGGCGGAATATGAATTGTGCAAACGTAGAAAAGTAAGTAAATTCTTGAAATAATAAAAAGTTTTTAATTATTAATTAATTATTTTTTCTCACAGATCCCCAGCATGAGTTATCCCAAGGTTGCCGAAGAGGCCATGCAGGAAGGTCCAACGATATTCCGCAAATGTTCACCCTACATTGGCAATCTGGTGAACACATTTTTACTCATCTATCAACTGGGCACATGCTGTGTCTATGTGGTCTTTGTAGCGTCGAATATTAAATCAGTGGCGGATTATTATCTTGAAACCCCAGTGGATGTACGCCTGTGCATGCTGATCATTTTGCTACCATTGATTCTAATCAATTACGTTCGTAATTTGAAATATTTAGCTCCATTCTCAACGATCGCCAATGCCATAACAATGGTGTCCTTCGGTATCATTTGTTACTACATCTTCCGTCAGCCCATCTCTACTGAGGGTAAGGAGGCATTTGCCCCAGTCAGTGGATTCCCATTGTTCTTTGGAACTGTCCTATTCGCTTTAGAAGGTAAGTAAATGGAGTAAGGGAAAATGAAATCATAGAAGTGAAAGGAAATCTGGTGCACAAACGTTCCGAATTCGATTTTCCTGGACGGTACCGAACATATTTATGAAATGCGATTGTAAATATATTGAACGTCTGGTTCCGACAAACATAGGACAATATTCTTTGAGGTATGGGAGATTTGTTCGTTTTCACTCGGAAGTGAAACTTTCTCTCGAGCGGGGTCGCTCTCAGAATGTGAGTTTTATACGAAGTTTACTCTTTACTATTTTGTTTCGTGCGGGAGCGCTCCTTTTTGAAAAATTTGAGTGGGAACCAAGTGGGAACCTTATACAAAATCAAAGAGAATAAGTAAAAAGGCACCTTAGTTCGGACGGGCCGAAATATTAATACCCTCCACTATTTGAAAGGACTTGAAAATTAAAAAAAAATCGTCGAAAAATACCGGCTAAATGAGAATCGTTATATTTGAGATATACAAAGATGAGGACCTGCATAAGTATATGTTTGTTATTGGGTGAGATGAAAAAACTGCAAACAACTTCAAAATGCTGTCATTTCTAACCCACTTGTCCGACAGCTGTTAAATTTATTCCAGTGACAGTTCATTATATTGTTTACAAGCATACAAAAGCATTTTGGTGAGAATTTTCCAGAAATAAAGTTATTCGTGATGGAATTCAAGCGTAATAGTGTGATTTCTTTATATTTGGCTGGAAACCCACAAGGGGCTATCGTTAGAGCACTCCAGCATTTAAATCTGAATAAATCTTTTGTGTCTCGTACCATTGCTCGTTACCTGGTAGCGTAGCCCGACGTCAAGGAAGTGGACGGAAGAAAACAGCAACATCAGCAGAAATGGTTCAAAAAGTAAAGAAGCGACCTAATCGATACCCGCATCGCAGTGGCCGAAAAATGGCTCGTAAGCTGAACATATCGCAATATTCCATTCGACAAATATTGAAAAATGAGCTTGAAATTCCAAAAAGTGCAAGAACATATACCGCAACAGAAAGAAAATAGACTCAGAAGAGCTAAAGAGTTGCTTCACATGGCCGAAAGTGGTGAACTGCCGAATTTGGTTTTCTCCAATGAGAAAACATTCGTTGTCCAGCAGTTTGTAAACGAACAAAATGATCATGTTTACTTGCCAAAGAGGTCAGCTCAAAATGTGCACCTTCGGTTGGCCACCAGAGCTCAAACGCCGGCCATGGTGATAGTGTGGGCCGCCATAACAGCGGATTGTCGCTCTCCGCTCTTATTAATCGACCGTGGTATCAGAATAAATGCCCAATATTATCGCGAAAATATTCTGGACGGTGTATTAAAGCCTTGGGCACGCAAACATTTTTTCAACAGGACCCAGCACCAACACACTCAGCACGCGCCACTCAAGAATGGTTACAAAATAAGGTTCCCCGCTTCATTTCCAGCGCACAATGGCCACCAAAATCTCCGGATACCAATCCGTTGGACTATTGTGCCTGGAGCACTTTGGAAAGCAAGATTGGCACTAAAAAATACTAAAGTGTGGATCAGCTCAAGCACGCGCTTCGCCGGGAATGGGCCAAAATACCGCAGATCAACATTCGGACAGGATGTGACGGTTTCATTGCCCGTTTGAAGGCCATAATTCGTGCCAAAGGTGACCAACTCGAACAAATCTAAACTTATTCTAAAATTTGAAGCTATTTCCGACATTTTTTGCTTTCATTCAATAATATTTAAAAAAAATATAAAAATCATGGCGTTTGACTTTGTTGCAGTTTTTTTAACTCACTCTGTATATGCTTTATCCGATTTGGTGTTAAGGTTCCTCACCTGCGTAAGGTGCACTCCACAACAATAATCTTTATTACCAGATATCAGATCCAACTCAGGAATAAGTGTTTCAATTTTTGTCAAGATTGGTTCGGATTTGGATATAGCTGCCATTTGGATATATCTCTATCCAATTTCAGGTTTTTTGTGCATAAAATCGCTAATATCAGCCCAAATAGACAAAATTTTGGCACTTCCGACGGAATTCAGCCTAAAAACAAGCGCTTCAGATTTTGGTGAAAAGCGGTTCATATATAGCCATAGCTCCCATTTATATGTTTCATCCGAATTGGTGTTAAAGTCCCTCACATGCGCAATATGCACTCCACAACAATGAGCATTGGTACCAGAAACAAGTGTTTCAAATTTTGTCAAGATTGGTTCAGATTTGGATGTAGCTCCCTTATATAATTCTATCCGATTTCAGGTTTTTTGTGCAATAAATGGCTAATACACATTTTCTGAATCGGCTTCCAATTTTCTTCCAATTTCACTGACTATGGAAAAATTCCTCAAATTTTGAAATCGATTTCCACACTGAGTACGACTCCAATACAAAAATCTGTGTTTTCGTATATATACGATTCCTAGCGTTTCAAAAAGTTTTAGGCTTATGATGTTTTCTGAGACCTATGGTAAAATGTCATTGTCCTCTTATAGGGAGTTTAGCGTCGAAATTTGCCAAAATAATCTTCGAATTATTATAAATAATATTGCCAAAGACACTACATACCTAAATCGCAAGGTACAAAGGAATCTCAATCTGAAAATTTCAAAGTATGTGGAAGAGAGAGGAACTTGCCCCCAAACTTTCAAAACACCAATACACGTGGCTTGTATTTTATGTTATATTTTAATAATCAACTGAATTTTTCCTATAATTATTTTTTGTATTTTACACCATGTTTTGTATTTATAATTCTACTATCGTTACAGCTATTGGTGTTATTCTCCCTCTGGAAAATGAAATGAAAACACCCAAGAAATTTGGTGGCTCCTGTGGCGTTTTGAATGTTTCCATGATTCTTATTGTGTTCCTTTACGTCGGTATGGGTCTTTTTGGTTATCTAAACTATGGTGATGATATTGAAGGTTCCATTACCCTGAATTTGCCTGCTAAAGAAGTGTAAGTTGATCAAATCAAATCTTGTGGAAAAGATAAAAAAAATAACTAATATTATATAACTTTCATAAACTTACAGTTTAGCCCAATGCGTCAAGGGCATGTTGGCATTTGCGATTTTCATAACCCACGGTCTGGCGTGTTATGTTGCCATCGACATCACCTGGAATGATTATGTGGCCAAGAAATTGGGACCCCAGCGTTCAAAACTTTTCTGGGAATATGTTGTACGAACTCTGTTGGTTTTGGTTACATGTAAGTGCCGATGAGAGAGGGATAAATGGTATATTTTCTAAATTACTGTCTTTTTGTTTTACAGTTTTATTGGCCGTTGCTATACCCAATTTGGAGTTATTTATTTCCTTATTTGGTGCTTTGTGCCTGTCAGCCTTGGGTCTAGGATTTCCGGCACTCATCCAAATATCAACACATTGGTATAATACACATGGAAAGGCTAAAATCTGGTTAATATTGAGTAAGTATATCAACAGTATTAATACTTCAAATATATTTAGTCATAAAAAATCCAGCGAATTTTAACCTCCAATTCCATTGGCAGTTGAAAGTTAATACATATCACATATGTGAACATTCTGTTATCATTTTGAGCTTACATATGAGCAGGTGCCCGCTACTTCGTCAGCGAAAAGTCCATCTTAAAATTTTAGATTCATTCCAACAGTTCGTATAAAGCATTTACAATACTCAATCTACACAATTTGTTGAGTTTGACATTTCTTTTGACCAAGCCTTCATACATTGTAGTAAATTTTCAGAATTTCAAGGTTTTAAATATTTTTCAAGTTTTTCATTTTTCGGAAAGAATAATAGGAAAATGTTTGTTCATTTGAAGTTTACCGAGGAAGATATTAGTAAAACCATTACACAATGGACCCACATCAAATTTTTCTGTCCAAAACTATTTCAACGTCTCCATATGTAAACCCTAGAGATCCCTAGAAACCACCCAATATCCAATTTAGTAACTATTAGTACGCACATCCAATCAATCTACATCTCTCCATCCTAAACACAACAAGTAAGCAAAGGCTATAGCCGTGCGGGGCCGACCATGTGATACCCTACAACACTACAATATGTTCGAAGTCCCCTTATATCCAATTCCATTTTGAAATATTTCGTTTTTAAAATAATGCCAAAAAGCCTCTCCCAGAGGTTACCCTTAAGTTTTTGACCCGGGGAATTTGTCCAATATTTACGCACTCCGTAGTGTTGTGAAGTATTTAAAACAATTGCACACGAAAGTTGTGGTCCATTTTACAACTAAATATAATCCAATGGTCATCGAAAATGCTAGACTTCTTCCCTGTCCACTACTCTCTTCCGATGCGAAATTCCATGTCGATTAATTTTCAATTGTGGCGTTTGGAACGACTACAAAATTAGAAGAAATTAACATTTTAAAAGCCCTTTAAACCTCTAAATGCACATCCGAAGTACAATAGGCTTCAATCCCGACCCTACCCCAATGCAAAATTTCGTGAGGATCGGACGATAATTGCTACATACATATAATACCCTCAAAACGTTGTGTTGGGAGATGTAAAAATTTAGAAAATTTAAAATTCAAAATTGTAAAAAAAAAATGTCAAAAATTGAAAAAATTCGGCAAAAGATATATAGATTTTATATTTTATATTTCTTAGATTTTATCCTTTTCTGGCAAGAGACCATTCCGAATTGATGGGAATTGTGAAATCGGCCCATAGCTAGATCGACTCAGCTCGGCGAGATAGGAAGATCCATATATACTTTCCTATGTGGGAAACCAATATTTCGAGGTGTTACATAATTTTTGGCCCAATCAAACTTATAATACCCCCAACACATAGTGTTGTAGGGTATAAAAACAGTGATCCAACATAAGTACCATTCAAAACTTTTAAAACAAAACTTTGCAAAAGCACCACCGGATTTCAATTCCAAATAAAAACGGAGACCTCAATATCAAGAGGAATCCAGGCCTATCCCTTCACCCAATACCTAATTAAGTACCATATAGTACTTTTCACCATTCAGTACATTTCGTACAATTATGGTACACATTTTCGAAACCACCTACATATGTCCAGGCTACACGTGAACAGCGACTCTAATATCAAATTTCCGATTTCAAGCACTCTCTGTTCACCCAATACCAAATTGTAGCAAGATTAGTACTATTTAGTACAGTTCTTACTCTTAGTACATATTTCCAAAACCACCACCTTACATCAACTCCATTTCCAAGAAATAATTCTCATACCAAATTTCAACATTTTACCATTGTCCGTTCACATAATTCCAAATGGTACCAAAATTAAGTGCATTTTAGTACTTTTGGTGCACGTATTGTTAAAATTTCGAAAAACTTTTTTGGCTTTCCAACAACCACATAACGACATAAAATATTTTCACTCCTAAGTTCAGATTTCCAGCTCTATTCCTTTCCCAAATACAAACGTTTATTCTATTTAGTACATATTTCGAAATCCCCCGCCATGTATCACCAAACCTCCAGAAAACTGATCCTAATGTCAAATTTTAGACTTCCAACTCAATTCCAAATTTCAAGATTTTACCACTATCCGTTCACATAATTCCAAATAGTACCATATTTAGTAAATTTTAGTACTTTGGGTGCAAGTATTATTAGAATTTCATCATCAAAGACTCACTCTTCAAATATTAGATTTCCAGATCTATTCGTTCCTAAATACCCAAGTTAATACTATTTAGCACTTTTCGTACTTTTTGGTACGTATTTCGAAATTCCCCGCCATGTACCACTAAGCAGCCAAAAACGTAAGTCCAAAGGGACCAATTCAATACCTTACCCAAATACCAAATTTAGTACCATTTAGCTCTTTTTAGTACGTACCCATCAAAATCTCAACCCTACACAGTAACAGTAATCCTACTGCTAAATTTCAGCTTTCAGGCAGTATCCGTTCACGCAATAATACATTTAGTACCTTTTGTACGTCTGCTGAACCCATTTTGAAACCAAACTCTTTATTTATTTTTACCCTCCCCTCCAGCAGAGACCACAATGCCAACATTTTAAATTTCCAAATCAATCCGTTCAACCAAAACCAAATTGTACCCAATTTAGTACAGTTATAATTAGTAGTAATTATTCATATTCTAAAAAAAAACAACTACGTTCGGTCGGGTCGAACTTTTATACCCTCCAACTTTTGGAAGAAACTTAAAAAAGGTCGTCGAAAAAAAAAAAACTTTATATGGGGACTACCAGAAGACGTGCTGCTGGGTAATTAATTTGTTGTCATAGGCTGTAGTAACGATTGCGAACTTTAAATACGAAATTCGAAACAATTCCGGTTAATAATGTCGCAAACATCATCAAAATACCGAAAAAGGGGAGGTACCGTTGTACTAAGACGTGGACCTTCATAGACAATTTTACGTCATAGGTTGTACTACTCATTACGAACTTCAAATACGAAATATGATGCAAATCCGGTGAATAATGTCTCGAAAATCCTATAAATACCGAATATCCCGAGGTAGCGGTATTTGGATGCCATACTAATTTTACTTAATTAATTTTTTTCCACTTAATTTTTTTTCCAAATTTCAAGATTTTATCTGTATCTGTTCACAAAATACCAAATGTTACGAAATTTAGTGCTTTTTAGTACTCTTAGTACACTTCTAGACCGAATTTCTAAAACCCCAGCCTTATATCAACATACCTAGACATATAATTAATTAATGATTGAATAACATTTTATAAATTTTTTTCTTTCAGGCAACTCTGTATTGATAATTGTTGGTGTCTTGGGATTGGTAATCGGTACATATACATCGCTGGCTGAAATTATAGCAACATTTCTAGATTAATTCAAAAAGCAACACATTACCTTACCCATTAATTTAAGCAAAGAAATGCATGATGTCACAAGTATTCACAGAACACAAAATACGCTACTGTAATTAGGACTCACATTCCACTAACAAACAATAGCTTGTAAGTTAGTCAATAGTTTAGCGTAAAAATAAGATATTTTACTATTACCATATGTGGGACTACGTCATTCACCTTATTTGTTGTTAATAATTTATTTAAAAATGTAATTGCACAAAAAAAACCAAAATTCTATGAGAATTTGCGATATTTTTTTCGAACATAATGCAATAATAAATTATATTTATTTTAAGATTTTTGTCACTCGCTGTGTATAAATATATAGAGTTTTTCAATAACTGTTTATAGAATATTAATTGTTCTACGTCAAAATATTGTCAAAAATAAAAAAACCCTTAACTAGATACCAAATACCAATCAACACAGATGTTATATCACACATTTTTTATGACAATTGTAATTGAATTCTTTTGAAAACGAATTATGTATCTGTTCGATAATTTGCCAGTGTTGCTTACTCATTTGCTATGCTCTCGGGTATTCCAATGGTAGAATTAAGAAGGTAAAGTCATGCAATCAAATATTTACAATTTTTATAAAATTATCAAAATGTATATTTATAAATCCTGTGTATATACAAAAATCGGAGATGGGAACCTGTTTTCTATGCAGTAGAATTTGCAGAAAATGCAAAGATGGATATGCTTAATTTTACCATGGTTGTTCGCACAAAAATTGCACGATTTTGGTTATCGAACGTACATACATATAGTTTTCAAGTCCCAAATAATGTGCCAAGTCCACAATAAAAATATTATTTATATAAATTAAGATATGTATTTATATTTTATTATATTTATAAAATTGTTTATTGCCATGTTTTGTTTATTTGTGAACGAATATTAAATATTAATAAAATATGTATTACTATTGAATATATATGCTTGTTTATGTATGCGAAATAAATCCACTCGATATACCAAATTTTAAGATAAACCAAAGAAGAAAGTATAAAAGTCGGGCGGAGCCGACTTTATGATACCGTACACCCCCTTGCATATTTAATAGAGATCCCGTAACAGAAAAATTTATTTGAAGTAGATCATTGCCCCAATAAACATTTGGCTTTACAGTAATAAAAAATTGGTTTCAGAGGGCACTTATTTTGGGAGGCAATTCTGAATATAGGGAAGCTATAGGTATATCTGAACCGGTTTTCTCCGAATTCTATGTACTTGCTTCTAGACTGAATTCGGTCGGATATACCAAAATTCAGGTCTTTTGCAGGAGCTTAACACCAAAGCAGATTATATATATATATATATATATATATATATATATATATATATATATATATATATATATATATATATATATATATATATATATATATATATATATATATATATATATATATATATATATATATATATATATATATATATATATATATATATATATAACTAAGATGAACAAAACAGTACGTTTGCGGTGGTCTCAGTCGTTGATTAGACTTCAACGAATGTAGAATGTAGGGGGATGCATTGTAGCTCCGTTAACATTAAGAAAACAAATTATAGATAGCTTTTGTAGAAAAATATAAATATATGGAGTTTATATTTAATGTTTTTTGATAATTTTGCTAACATAAAATTAAAATTCTTTGCTACAAAACGTCCAGAACAAGAAGGGAGATATTTTTTACGTGCTTTTTGTTTCTCTCACACACACAAGCGCAATGTTCATTTTGTGGATCATAGTTTTAAACCCTGCTTTAGGACATTTTTTTTTTTGTCGCTCTGCAATATTCTCAAATACCAAAGGTTACACTATAAAATGTAGTTGGCAACACGAATGTGCAAAGTACAGGGTGATTCGTACAAAAAGCATTCCATATTAGCGTGTTCACGAACCACACATTAAAATAGGTATTTTACCTATAAGTTTACACAGAACAATACATATATTTTTCGATTTTACTATATGTCAAATAATGTGGGCTGTATTGTGATGTCAACAGACAGATGTATATCCTTAAATCGGAATTTTAAGCTGATAATGTAATAATATACTTTGTCATTCTGTTTGTAACACCTCGAAATATACATTTTAGACCCCACAAAGCATATACATTCTTGATCAGCATAAAATTCTATGTCGATTTAGCGATGTCCATCCGTCTGTGGAAATCACTCTAGCTTCCGAACGAATTGAAGCAGATTGATAAAATTTTACTCAAATATATATTATGTCTGCAGGAATTTTGGTATTGACAATGGGCTATGTAGGTCCACGTTTTGGTATTGCCCCCATATAAAGGTACCTCCCGATATTCGGTATGATTTTAGCGACATTATTCACCGGCATTGTTACAAATTTGGTGTTTGAAGTTCGTAATGGATACTACAGCTTATGACAGAAAATTGTCTGTGCAGGTTCACGTCTTCGTATAGCCCCATATAACGGTAACTCCCGATATTCTCTATTTTGATGATTTTAGCGACATTATTCACCGATTTTTTTCCAAATGGTGGAGGGTATTCAACGTCCAGCACGGCCGAACTTACACCTTTTTTACTTGTTTCAAATTTGACAACCACTATACATCTTACATTATTTGACGTAGAGCTTTAAAATTTTGTACCGTTGTTTGCTTTGTGTCCAGGATGGTTGGTACTAAAAATGATGATATATCGTTTTGGGATAGCCCCCATATAACGGTACCCATGGTACAATAAGGAGGTAGAACAGCTTCGTAAAACTACAGAAATACAGCCCTGAAATTATATACAAGAAGTTTTTTTCATTTTTTTATATTTTTCCTCATTTTTAAAATGAGTTAAATAGCGCCAAAAATGAATGAAATGCCTGGATTTTCTCTCAAAAATATGATCCAAACTTTTCAATCTTTCAATTGCATGGTTAAACTGGTTAATACCTTTAAAGCGCGAGCCGCAATGTAGGTGTCTTCCAATCATTGGTTTTGAAAATATTTTGTTTTCATTTTTCAAAACAATAAATACATACACAAAACACTTCGAAAAAAATTGTAATCAGCTGGTAGCTTTCACATGTTGAAATAAAACGTTAGATTGCGGACCCGTTACCATGGTAGAAAAATACAGGTAGATGCATCAACGCTTGGGAACATTAATATGTCAAAACTTTTTAGATGTTTTTTCAAATATAAGTTGATTTTTATGTGTTTTCTTATACGACGTCATTCGGAGGTTATTATAATACGCATTTTTCAACAATTTTTACAAATTTAAATAATTTTTCATTCAAGAATTTCAATTCTAAATTTTTTTTGACAGTTCATTGTCCCAGCAGCTGTGTCGATGCGTCTACCTATATTCTTCTACCATGCCCGTTACTTTAACAGCCTGTTCCACGATCTCGAAAGAAAATTTGTGCGAACGAAGGCTACTCACTCACTTTCGTATAAGAATGCGTTCCACTAACTTTCGTCATAGACAAATGAAAATATAGACAACGAAAAGTTAGTTTTGTCTTTTTTTCCAGATGGCTCTCATCATGTTTTTCATAGTCAGCATGCTGATTTACGCGTTCAAGCCACTCGACTTCGAAAACACATTTTATCGTTTTTCAAGAATTTCACTGGAATATTCCTATATTTTTCGATGTCATCACGTTATTTTCACATTTTTTTTATTATGAAATAATTTTCAACTGGCAAATATCCTATTTCTTTACTTCGAAAACACATTTTATCGTTTTTCAAGAATTTCACTGGAATATTCCCATATTTTTCGATGTCATTACGTACTTTTCACATTTCTTTTATTATGAAATAATTTTCAACTGACAAATATCCTACAGTTTTTGTTATTTTTAACATTTTTGAATTGAGTGACTTCAATATTCCCACTCAAACCCCTGAAACGATATGAACGACATCTGCTGATTCGATTTTTTTCGAAGATAAACGGTGAGAGCATTTCGTTGTCTATATTTTCATTTGTCTATGCTTTCGTTCTTTCTTTCGCATAGCCTTACGTCATTCAGTGTTGCTAAATATTATTTGGAAAAATTAATCGCGAAATAAGGCAAAAAAAAGCGCCAAATGTCTAATTTAAACGCGAAAAAGCAGCAGTGGCTCTGTCTCAACTGACAGCATAGACAAATGAAAATATAGACAAAGAAATGCTCTCACCGTTTATCTTCGAAAAAAATCGGATAAGCAGATGTCGTCCATATCGTTTCAAGGATTTGAGTGGGAATTTTGAAGTCACTCAATTCAAAAATGTTAAAAATAACAAAAACTGTAGGATATTTGTCAGTTGAAAATTATTTCATAATAAAAGAAATGTGAAAAGTACGTAATGACATCGAAAAATATGGGAATATTCCAGTGAAATTCTTGAAAAACGATAAAATGTGTTTTCGAAGTCGATTGGCTTGAACGCGTAAATCAGCATGTTGACTATGCAAAACATGATGAGAGCCATCTGGAAAAAAGACAAAACTAACTTTTCGTTGTCTATATCTTCATTTGTCTATGCTGACAGTTCAGTTGTAAACAAACAAATTGGAGGACCCATGGTATTTAATTTAAAAACTAATTTCTTCCAGTGGTCTTCAAGGGATTGCTTGCTGCTTCCAAAAATTGGCACTCCTCTGGAGAACTTAGGATTCTCCTCCATATACTCAACTAGTGCCCGCAGCTGTGTAGTTTTTTCTTGCTAGAATTTAGAAAATAAAAAATATATATTTGTTGTTCACAGATTAAATTGCATTTATTATTTTTACTTACATTTTTCTTTCCATTTTCAATCAAGCATTGTTTATGTTAAAACAATTTTCCTTAATTTTTATCATTCGACAGCAAACACACAAGTGGCTGCAAATTTTCGTTCTGATGGATTTTAGTGGAACGGAAATCAGCTGTTTGTCGTGTAAAAGTTGTGGGAACGTGTTCTTTCGATATCGTGGAACAGGCTGTAAATTTATTATGATTGTCAATTGTTAGTTTGTTACTAAATGCTCTGCAGTTATTAACGCTACCCAATAACACTGACGTCGACGTTTTCAATTAGGTTAACATCATTATTTTCTGAGTCGCCCTGTGCAAATATATCGACTCACCTTGTTTGAGATGTTTGTTGTTGCAATTCTTGTGTATTGTTTACATGTGCAATTCGCAAAATTCTTATAGTTCGGAGAAAAATAGAATTGGAAAACAAATCGGAAGACTGGTAGGAAATTTGTTGCAGAAAATCTCACAATGGAGGGCAAAGGACTAGCTCATAATCTGGAATCGGCTACACGAACGGATGACATACGCCTAAAGGATTTAGCTCCGTTCAGTAAAATGCTCTTGTCCGAACAAGTTCGCAAGGGTTTACATCAAGCCGGCTTTATGTATCCGACAGTCATACAGGCTATTGCCATACCAGTGGGAAAGTCGGGAATCGGTAGGTTTTTATAGGAAGTTAATTTCTCATTTTGTTATTGAAATAAAAATGTTTTCTTTGTAGATTTATTGGTTCAGTCAAAATCCGGGACAGGCAAGACGTTAATATTCTGTTGCATAGTTTTGGAAGCATACACATCGGAGATTAAGGAACCACAGTCGATGATTGTAGCACCCACTCGGGAAATTGCAGTACAAATAGAAGACACACTGAATAGCATTGGTAAATTCTGTCCTGGTTTCAAAGCAGTATGTGTGATTGGTGGCATGGATGTGGGAGAAGATCGTAAACGTGTGCAGGGTGCCAAGGCAATTGTTGGTACTCCGGGTAGGATTTTACATCTCATTCAAAACGAAGTATTGAATACTTCTCAAATACGACTACTCGTATTGGATGAAGCCGATAAAATGTACTCGAACACATTCCGTCAAGATTTACAGAGGATACGTAATGCCTTGCCCAACCGCAAACAGACCTTGGCATGTAGTGCAACATTTGAGGATAATCTTGACATGGAACTGGCAAAAATAATGAAAAATCCTCTCTTGGTATCCACTGAAGAGAGGGCCACTCTGCTAGTGGGCATCAAGCAATTTGTTTATGAGTTGCCAGAACAGAAGACAAGTATTTTAGAAATGCAATTGAAATTGGATGCTGTGAGACATATTTTTCGACGTCTTGCATTTAAGCAATGCCTAATTTTTGCCGGTTCACAATCCCGGGCGGATTCGTATCGTAATTATTTGGAAAAGGACGGTTGGCCATGTGAACTTATCTCGGGAGCACAAAATCAGAAGACCCGCCTGGAACAATTTCGCAAATTTCGGGAGTTTAAAACACGTATACTGCTTGCTACAGATCTTATGGCACGTGGTGTAGATTCGGAACATGTTAATCTGGTCATAAATCTGGAATTACCCCCAGATTCAGTTACATATTTGCATCGCATTGGTCGTGCTGGCCGATTTGGCTCCCATGGTGTTGCCATTAATTGTGTAGCATCGGCCAAGGATCATCAGACATTCAAGAAACTCATTTCCGAAATTGGTACTGGTATGAAGGTTCTCAAATTTCCGAAAGAAACTGAAAGCGATAAGGAGCAGCGTGATATTTGGAATTTTTCACAATTTGCTGAAGACATCAACTATTTTGGTCTATATCAAACTGATCCTCCAATGCCAAAGGCTCCCTTAGCCTCACAAGATAATGTTTCTCTAACACCATCATTGTCTGAAAATAAAGAGAATCTTAGCAATAATACTTCATCCATACAACAATCATCAATAGATACAAATACGTTCCTTGTCAATTCCAAAGATAGTGCCGTAAACATGCCACAATTAACAGAATCTTCTCAAGTGCCCAACAAATGTAAGCAGAATGATGCCGTAACTCCATTGCAGCACAGTAATGTCGATATTTTAAATACTCCTTGTGATTCACACAATGATTCCACACATCAGCTCATCACCTCGAATACCATAGATGACGCCAGCAGTATTGCTGCTGATAGTTTACGTAGTAGCCAACAGGATATTTCCCGCTATCAATCTGTGTTAATGCAAAAGTCTGCAATACCCACACTTGTTGAGTTCTTGGTTGATCGCCAGTCGTCGCAGGATACGCCAACAAAGCGTAATCAAGATTTATTTGATGCCTACACCGAAGAGGTTTTAAATGATGATAGAGATCCATCTGAGGTAAGTTCATTTGTGAAATGAAGTATTGTTTATATATTTCCCAAATTAAGAAAGAGGATTTCCGCACTGAGTATTTGACAAAATAAAACGGGGAAATCTCATGCAGGGAAGTTTGTCGAAAAGACAACCTTGACTTGAAAAAAACTTCTTTGATCATCATTCTCTTGAATAATCACTTTTGTTTATTTCCCCCTTTTAGCCACTTCAGGCTGAAACAACAGTTGATGGACCCGTGCTCAATTCTACCAAATTGGCTCAACTAAAATCGCTACTCATTGATAAGCCTGTAGTGAAGAGTCCTATTAAGGAAAATATTGATTTATATTCGGATTTCGATAATTTCAAGGAAGATGAGAGCTCAATATCGGTGTCAGATGATGTTGACAAACAGACGTTCATTATGTCAGTTACGACACCATCAATACAACAAGATTCATTGGAGGAATTGCGAAATAATTCATCTGATTTATATCCAGCCACAGATCAGACTACAGTCACCACTGACTCTCATGAACTGGCCATTAAAGAGCCAAAGCATTTTCCCTCACCAGCTCATAATCATATGCCAGGTTTTATACCCGATATAATACCAGGACCAGATGCACAAACTAGTAAACAACAAAGACAAAAACTGTCCATAAATGTCACTGCACATGTAAGTCAATTACTAATCGATTTGAAGAATTCGTAATTTTCTTTGTTTTATTGTATCTTTACAGATAGAAATTCCTCCATATCAGTCGCCACCCAATTCTGTGTCTCCTTTGGTGAATGCATTAGAAAATAATCGAGAAGAACCTTCACCTTCTTCCACAACAGACAGTTCTGTGGCAACTTTATCTAATCAAGAGAATGATGAACAATTATCTGGCTCAGAAACAGAACAGTCAGGAGGTAATAGCAGCGGCTTCGACGAAAAGACATCTACGTCAGGGTCTTCTGGTATAGATACATCTGAACCGGAAAGTAATCGTCCCCAACGTCTGGTAGCACAATATGAAACTTCAAGCAGTGACGAAGGTGATGATGATGATGAAGATCTTACTTTTGATTTGGATAATGATGCCGATGAGGAAGATGATAGTAGTGAACACTATTTTGGGACCGATGAGGAAGGCAGTCACGAAGAACTCGAATATGACCAAGATTCTGAAGAAGAGGCGGAGTCTGATGAAGACTTTTCGCCGGACTATGCAAATACACAAATTGGTGAAGTACTTTTTAGTCGGCCCGTAACTCAGGCCAGCCACACTTCATCCTCGAATACCATTACAAATACAACACAACGCTCGTTAAATGTGGCATATCAAACGGCCTATTCACGTTGGGTGGATCTCTATTGGAATCAAATGACTATAATTCAAGATTATGTGAAATTTTTCCAATTCACCCGACAACAAGAGGAGTAATTTCAATTATACCTAGAATGTGCCCATCCACGCATGTGTTGCCCAATTGAATACATTTATCAACAACTGTTTTCTACAATGTATTATTTAATTTTGTAACTATTTTTAGTCTTAAAGGAATCTGGAATTTCTTTTGGTTTTTTTATCCTATGAATTTGTTATTATTTAGTTATATATAGTATGCAAAAAATGAATTGAATTCTTGGAAAATGATGAATAAAATATGTTTAGCAGAATCGAATATTTATGGATATTCAAAAGAATTACATTATTTTGAGAGAACTTAACACTATGTCAAAGCCATTTTCCTGTGAATCCTGGTTCAAGAAGTTTTGTTTATCTCGAAACCAAATGAATAGAAATATACAGTTTTCCCAACCTTCAACTGAGGTGAGAACAGGAGCAATTGTCAAAGGTCTAATTTTTTAAGTTACTATATTACAATTATTTGTCAAAATATCCGTTGCTTATATCATTTTTCCATCAGCTCCACGAGGTTCCCATTTCACCAAACAGAATTATCTTGGAATTGGATGAGAGAAAGGGCAAGAGGAAGGTGTTGACAACAAGGTGCGAAGGCAATTGTTGGTACTCTGAGAACGATTTAAGGCCTCATACAAAACGAAATACTGAACCCTTTTCAAATACGCCTGCTGTTAGTACTGGACAAAGCCAATAAAATGTATTCGAGCACATTCTGTCAAGATTAGCAGGGGATAATGTCTTACCAAATCGTAAACAAACCTTAGCATGTACTGGAAAATTTAAGGATAGTCCGACTTGCAAAAATAATGAAGATTCTTCGTTCAGTATTTACTGAAGCAAGGGACATACTTCCCAACTCATGATGTTTTGAAACTGCCAAGGGAGAGAGAGTTACTGACAACATTATCCTCGAAAGTTCATCACTTCCACTGAGAAAGCAGCGATATCTAGAAAGGTCTTCACTTTCACTGGGAAAGTTACAGCTTTATCTCTCAGCTATAAAGTTGTTGTAGCAGCAATATATGTTACTTTTTATGGTCTACTAGATAAACAAGGCTTCCTTATATGCACCCCTAGTGCTGCAGGTTAGCGCATTGAGAACCTTGTTCCTATATTTCAATTTATTGCAGATAGTTGTGACTTGCGCGGACGACTTGATCATGGTGTGGAATGTGACTCCTATGAAAATAGTGCAGTTTTTGTCGGAATTAAATTTCCCTCGACCTGCACATTCAGCTGTGTGTTCTCATCTCCGCAGACCATATGGTTAAATGAGTGGCCGTTGATTTCGTGGCTGATTTTTTCATATTAATTCCATGAAGAAGGCAGCAAGCTCCGACAGGTAGCTTTTGACACATAGAGGGTGAGTTAAAAAAACTACAAAATAGTCAAACGCCATAATTTTTGGGGCCATTGTGCGTTGGAATTAAAGCGAGGAACCTCATTTTGTAACCATTCTTGGGTGGCGCCTGCTGAGTGCGATGGTGCAAAGTCATGTTGTAATGTCCAAGGTCTGCGGCCAAAATGTTTGCGTGCCCAAGGCTTTAATACACCCTCCAGAATATTTTCGTGATAATATTCGGCATTTATTCTGATGCCACGGTCGATTAATACGAGCGGAGAGCGACCATCGGCTGTTATGGCGGCCCACACCATCACCATGGCCGGCGCTTGAGTTCTGGTGGCCAACCGAAGGTGCACGTTTTCAGCTGACCTCTATAGCAAGTAAACACGATTATTTTGTTTGTTTACAAACTACTGGACAACGAAGGTTTTCTCATCGGAGAAATCGGACTCCTAGGATCATGGTTTAATTCGTGTTGGAATTAAATCTCTCTCCACCTGCACATTTAGCTGTGTGTTCTCATCTCCGCAGAACATGTGGTTAAATATGTGGCCGTTGAATTCGTGGCTGATATTTTTATATTAATCCCATGGATAAAGGCAGCAAGCTCCGCCACTTTACGATCTCTATGCTGTATGGAGAGCGATGAATTTCGGAAAGGAAAAGGTTAATCAATTCCGGAAAAAAAACACCCCACATTGGGGAACTCTCTACTTCACTCAACGGGGTTTGGACTTCTTGTTCCTGAATTCCACGTACGGCTGGCGTTCACACACATAGTTGATTATCCAACGTTTCAAACCTGGCCGGAGGGTAGTTCTCTTTACATTCTCAAACAGGATATGTCAAGAGTCATCTGCACTGTTCTATGACACGACTTGTTCTGGCTTATTTCTCGTCTGATATGTGTGGATATGGCGTGCAATGCTATTGTGGTAGTATGTTGGAACGGAAACCGTATGTAAGGTTGGCGACTGAATAACTTCCTCTGATGCCGACGAGGAGTAAAGCCTCAAGAGTTTTTTCTACTGGTGGCAAAAGTGAAATTGGCCTGTATGATTCGTATTTGCTGGCATCCTTGTCTGGCTTCAGTAGTGAGATCATCTGGCTCATTTTCTTAGCTTCGGGAACGATGTGGGTGTCAAGCGACAGGTTAAGAACTTTTGTCAGGTATTGAATCCAGTCTTATCCAGTTGTTTTAACATTACCATAGAGATTCCATTTGGACCCAATGCTTTGGATGACTTAGCGTTTCGGATGACGTTTGCAACATCACTTATTGTAAACTGTGGTTGCGTCTCTCAGGCGGGAAGAGATCTGATACAACGCAGCACTCTTCGCTTTGTCCTATGACTCTTTGGGTGTTGGAATTATTGGTATTTAAAGAATCCGGAGCAGTCATTCCGGGATAGGGTGCTTCCAAAGCAGAAAAATTAAAAACCAACATGTATACCCTGAGTTGGTAATCGTCTAAACAAAGGTTAAGTTGTTTCGGATCAATCCGGTATCGTAGAACCCGACACCGTGGGATACCTCTGGTGTTGTGGAAACGCTTATTGCATAATATAAACTCTACATATGTATGTGTGCCATTGTCATTTGATACAAATTACTATTACTAGTTGCATTTATTTCTTGAGAAAATTGGTATCTAGGATTCTCATGGTTGAACGGAATGTTGCATTGCACCGAACACTGTCTGAAGTGATTTGAAATTAGTAATTATCACACAAATGGAATGCACACTTATGACAGGTAATCAATCATAGTTATGATTAAAGCATAGAATCAAGGTATGTATGCCTTGCATAGAATCTACAACAAAGCCAATGTTAAGATTGTTAAAACAAATCTCTGTTATTTTCATTGCACAATGCTAATGGAAATGTTTGTGATTGGTTAAGGAATTTGTAAGACATGCATTTATTTGTTCACTTATCTGCTGGGTATGATGGATTTAATACGGCCTTCTCTCCGACTATCAGATTGTAAATTGAAGGGAAAAGCCATTGATATGCATTCTAAGTTCTAGATTAATTTCAATTGGTTAACCAATGTTTTAAGTTTTGGGTTCAGAAGGGGAGATTTCCAATAAATGTTGTCAATTCTGATTTCTGGCTTTTCAGGGTTGTGTTTATATACCAATAGATTTATTTTGCATTATAGCACTTTCAATTATTTTACAATTAATTCTCTCCTCCCCACTTTATGACCATGGAAATTTGAACATTCATTCATTCATATCATATCAAGTCGCTGTAAATATCATTTCCACATTAATGAACATTTTCGTTGATTATTAAAATGACATACCACGATTTACATTAAACGCTAATTGGACTTAATGGAATAAAATCTGGCATAACAATGCATTATGTATGATTATCGCTTTGGATTTTCTCGTTTACGGGCCATAATTTAATGACAGCGAACGGCTAGGTGGCGAGTGCGGCAGGCAGGCAGGGCGGGCGATCGGTTGCTGCTATCGTATCGCTGCCGCTGTAATAACTTGGCTTCAAGAAACACAACAATGCACCACAATATTGTCTTAAAGATCGCCTTCAGTCGTAATTATTCAAGCTGAGAACTGTATTTAAATCGAAGTACATAAAGGTCTTGTTTGGATGCTGATTAAACACCCACTTATTGTGGGTTTTGTTTTTTTTTTTTTTTTTGTTTTAATATCGTTGGTGGTATTTGAAAGTATGATCTTAAAGAAAACCATTAAGGTATGACCAATAGAAGGCCCGCCATAACACGTTTGTGATGAATTGCCAACAAGTTGAAGTTGTTTGATGGAAATTTAAAGTTCTGTGATTAAGGTACAAACAAGTTGAATAAAAAATAAGTAAAAAAGCTATAATTTCAACCAGGCCGAACCTTGAAAACCCTCCACCATTTGGAACGAATTTGGCAATTTTCAAAAAATAAAAACTGCTAAAAATACAACGACGCTGTCCTGCATAGACAGCTTTTATCATAATATTTAAATGCGAAACTTGAGACAAAATCGGTGAATAATGTTGTAGCTCAAATCATCAAAATACCGAATATCGGGAGGTACTATTATATGGGGGTCATACCACAACGTGGACAATTTTCTGTCATAGGCTCAAGTATCAATTTATATATATTTGTCCGATTTGTCTTTTATTGTGCACCAAATGTGTAATATCAGTCCGAATAGTATGGAATTTTGCACATACAATAAATTAGCCCTGGAAATAAGTATGCCAAATTCGATCGAAATCGGTTCAGATATAGCTATAGCTCCCATATATATTGTTCATCCGATTTATTTGTTATTTTTGTCCTCCGCAACCGTAATATGCACTCTGTAACAACAATATTTGGGGAAATATTGATATATTCAGCTCAGAAATACATTTGCTAAATTTTATCGAGATTGGTTCAGATTTGGAAATAGCTCCCATATATAACTTCGTCCGATTTACCTTCGATTGTGCACCAAACGTCTAATATTTGCCCAAATTGGATGAAATTTGGCACTTACGACCGAATTGAGTCAGAATCATGGAGATTACCAAGACTATCAAGCCATTAAGTGGAGAAAGCGATTGGGCAATTTGGAAAATAAAAGTCAAAGATCTTTTCGATTTTTATGAAGAAGCTCTGGATGTGGTTCTAGCAAAAATTATAAAGCCAGAACCTTTAAAAGATGATAGGTCTGCGGCATACAGGGAAAATTAACAGTCTTGTCAAAACCCTTATTACCAGTAAACCCTTATGTCAATTTAATGGACAAAGAATCTTCTGCTGAGGTTTGGGAACCATTAAACCAACAATTTGAAGCGACATCCAAAGACCAAC